CCCCCCCCCCCTCCTCACACGTGGCGATCTTGTACTTATAATCGTATCGTCGCTCTCGAGGAATGTGCACGCTTGGCTCCGTCCAAATATGTCTACCCTTGCCAGATAATAATTGTTCGCTTAATAAGATTTATGTATACATATATAAATATAGACATAGACATGATCTTGTATATATATATATGTATATTATATATATATATATTGGTTTTTTATGTATACACATAGAGATTCTACCTAGGGTAACTTAATTAGAAAACAAAAAATATATATACATACTTTTATGTATAATAAAACAAAAGTAGTCGGGAGGACCGAAAAGAAAAAACTAAAATGCAGAGTAATTACGCGTGTAAAATGTTTTTTTTTTTAATTCCAAGGCGCTCTCCGTATACTGTTAATCTGATTGCTACGCGAATAACGTAAACGCGTATACTTTTTACATCCATCGAGATGATCCACTTACAATAAAAATAAACTATAAAAATATCTTTGGCAACTTGTCGTCGATGCTATCAAACGAAAGAAAACAATAATTATTTGTAGGCTATTGCAATGGAAGTCGGATGCCTAACGGCAAGACGAGGCTAAGGCGTACTTCCGATAGGATACAGCTTCGAAGAAACTGTGTAAGCTGGACGAGGTTAAAAAGAAAAGGAGAGTCCAGTGGAGCAAGCTAAGAGCTTAACAGAAGGGAAGAGGGAAAAAAAAAGTGAAAAGTAAAGGTAGCAACAAGGTAAGGACGTTAGAAAAGAGAATCAACGAAAGATTTGACTAAGAGCTTCCAGCAAGAGACGCGGAAGGAGGTTATAAATAAAAAAAAAAAAAATCTAAAATCTATAATTCGCGTCATGCATCGTTCACGAATCTTTGGCAGTTCTTCGAGACTAGAAAGCAGCACATTCCTTCGCAGGGCAATTAAGTACGAACGGAATTGACTAGATAAAATAATTAGCATCACTGCGCAACGAGCGAGCGTGGATATCCGTACCGAGCATACATTTGAATATAGGTAAAACATATGTCAATACGGATAGTCGCGCATGCGCGTTATATCTTTGGTTACAAAATGGTGTCATATCGCGCGCCATATTTTCCTCGGATCCATCTGGATCGATAAATCGTTACCTCTCGTATATCTATGTATGCATGTTTTAAATATCTTTTTCCTTTCTTCTTCGTCTTCTTCCTTTTAAATATTTAACGTGTCCTCGGTGTATGTATAATTTATGTATGTATATGTACACGTAGGCTGTATGCATATAGAAATGACTAGGTTGAGAGATTTAAGGAAAGAAAAAACGGCCACGTAGCGCTTCTACACAGGTCGTGATATCCTCATTACGGTCATCATCATCATCGTCATCATCGTCATCGTCGTCTCGACAAGGCCTTGCACTAAGGAATTGGACTAGAGGTGATTCTCTCGACGCTGCTCTCACGGATCCGAATGGTCGTATAGGTCGGTCCCGATTCAAGACTCGAAGATCCTGTATTGTGGGCCGCGACGATCGACGAACTGGCAGGCAATGGCGTCGACGTTCTAACGCCGTCAACTAACATTGGCGTCCCAAAGCCAAGCCAGCCGTGTCGATTCTTTAAGTGACGCTTCATGTGCGTCGTGCGACTCAGCACTTTGTGGCACACGGGACACTGGGTCGTTCCTTTATGCATATTCATATGTTTATACATAGAGTCCCGATTCCAAAATGATTTACCGCAGAGTTTGCAAGAATGCGACGGGTGCTCGATGACCACCGTGCGTGAATCTAGATCAAATAAAGATTCGTTGCTACATATTTTTTGACCTACTGTAGACAAATTTGTAATTTTTTTTTTTCTTTTTCAATATACTCAACAACCCTCTACTACGTGTCTCTCTCCATTCATCACAGAACTCAGACACAATAAAATATATCACACAGTCTCTCCCTCGATTGAGTACTGAGAATTACTCTGACGTTACTTGCCAAGTTTATTTTTACTATGATTTTAGAAAATTTCGTTCTCTTTCGCTTTTTTAAAAAATATTTTTTCTTTTTTTTTTTTTCTTTTTTTTTCGTCGTCCCGTACATCCATCAACGATACAGTAACTGGGGGAAGTCCGTTTATCTCTTACAAGGAGTGTTATTACGTATACATGTATATATGAATTTTTTTTGTAATATTAACAAAAACAAAAAAAGGAAACGGACTTTTCTTTTATCACTCGCTAGAACAGAAATAAAACTTAACACACAGAAAACGAACTCGGTGCACACTCGGAGCGATCATGCTTTGCCGAGCAGGTCGCTCGGTGATCTACACGTACGGCACAGAAGATACGGTGATTTTCATGCACAACGCTTTGTAGTGTCATTATTATTATTATATTATTATTATTAATTTTGCTATTTACTATTGTCCTTGCGGTCGAGTGATTCATTCGATCTCTAAATAATATTTGGGCACACCGACGCATCAGCGTCTCACACAAAACCATTACCTACCCTGACATTTAGTTTCTACTGAATCATTTTTTTGCGTTTCTCTTTTTTTTTTCTGAATTCATGTTTACTCTGCCTGTTGTGGTTTTCACTTTTTGTTGGTTGCTTTTCTGCATTTTTGGAACATATACCTACTGCTCGCCATCATCACTCTAGTGCAGTGTACCGACAATCAATTTGCATTTCCCTTAAGAACCGAAAGGAACCGGATATGCCCCATTTATACTTTCACACATCCGTGTATATATATATATATATATATATATATATATATATATATATATATAT